GAGGCAGGAGACTCGCTTGAGCCCAGGAGTTGGAGGTTGTTGTGAGCTGTGATGCCATGGCACTCTACCCAGGGGGATAGCTTGAGGCTCCGTCTCAATAAAAAAAAAGAAAAAAGAAAAGGTACCTGGCTGGCAGCAGGCCCAGCACTGCCTCAGGGCCCTGTTGTCCCTCCCAGTTAAGAACCACTACGACAGCCGCCATCAGCAAGGACTTCACTGAGGACCGGATCTGGCTGAATGGCAGGGAAGAGGAGGTGGGGCAGCCGCGACTGCAGGCCTGCCTGAGGGAGAGTGAGTTGGGGTCCATGGGGCATTGTCTGTCTTTACCCTGGCAGGTCTTGAGTGTCCAGAAGGTGTGCTGCCTCTGGACAACACTAGCCTGGCTCACAGACTTACAGTGCTGCTGGGGTTGGAGTCAGGGGCTTTCCCAGGGAGGGGCTCTGCATGGGAAACATGAGGGCCAGAGGCCTTGCTTTAGCTGTGACCCCCAGGAGGGGCTCATGACCCAGGAGTGGGTCGGTAGAGTTGCTGGCAACTGTGTCACATGCTATCCTGTCCTCCCTAGTCCGCCGCCTGGCCCAGGAGAGGAGGCGCACACAAGATGGAGGCCTGCTGCTCCCCAGCCTTGGGTACAAGGTGCATGTGGCATCGGTGAACAACTTCCCCACGGCCGCGGGCCTGGCCTCCTCTGCAGCTGGCTATGCCTGCCTAGGTAGGTGCCACAGGGAGAGTTGCTGCTGGGGCAGCAGAGCCGCTTACTACCTCAGAGCCAGGGAGCCAGTATTGGGCTCATCTGACCAAGCACCTGCCATGTGGGCTGTCTAGCATCCTCCCAGAAACACATGTAAACGTTAAATCTTCCTCCCCAAAGCCCACCAGTGGATGCCCTGTTCCCTGTGCCTCCTCCCAGGTTGGCTGCACCCTGTGTGGTGTCCATCCCAGGCCCCAGCTCTTCAGGCCCACGCAGCTTGTGGGCTCCAGGCTCAGCCTGGGCCATCTCTCATCCATCTCTTGTGCTTACAGCCTACACCCTGGCCCAGGTCTATGGGGTAGACAGTGACATCTCAGAAGTGGCTCGCCAGGGCTCAGGCAGTGCCTGCCGGAGCCTGCACGGGGGCTTCGTGCTGTGGGACATGGGGAAGCAGGCCGATGGGAAGGACAGTATCGCCCGGCAGGTGGCCCCTGAGACGCACTGGCCTGAACTCCGAGTCCTCATCCTTGTGGTGAGTAGGGGAGGGGGCTTTTATCCGTCCCTGAAGGCCATGCTAAAGACAGGTACAAAGGTGTCCAGTCTTGGCCAGAGTGCCCTTTGAGCCAGAAATGGCCATTTCCAGGCCCATATCGCCTCTGTGGCCATCTGACCTCCACCCCAGCTGCTTGTGCCAGTAGAGGGAGGGCCAAGTGTTTACGGTGGAGGGGGCTGTCAGCTGGGGACACCTTGTATGTGTGGCCTAGGTGGTCTGTCCTTCACATAGGTGAGTGCAGACAGGAAGCTGACCAGCAGCACTGCAGGCATGCAGACCAGTGTGCAGACCAGCCCCTTGCTCCGGGTAAGGCAGCAGGGCCCTTCCCATTTGCTGTCTCGGCCCCAGGTGTTCTCCTGACATGCAGGTCTGGGTGGAGGAGCCTGCTCTTGGAACTTTCCACTATCACAGCTGCCGTTTCCTCCCTGGGACATGGTCTGTCCTTGCAGTTCCGGGCTGAGGCAGTGGTGCCAGCGAGACTGGCAGAGATGATACACTGCATCCAGCAGCGGGACTTGGAGGGCTTCGCTCAGCTGACCATGAGGGACAGCAACCAGTTCCACGCCACCTGTCTAGACACCTTCCCTCCCATCTCCTACCTCAACGACACCTCCAGGTGCATCATCCAGCTGGTACACCGCTTCAATGCCTACCACGGGCTCACCAAGGTGACGCATGCCCCCGGCCCTGAGGCCTGCGGGTGTCACTCAGCCTTGTGCTGCGGTGGCGCCTGTACCTGAGCGCATCACCCTGCATTTGCAAAGCCCTGCCTGCCTCTTCCCATGGTTGCAAGCAGAGGGGACATACCAGCTGTTTGGGGATGCTGTTCCACTTTGGTATGGCCTTGAGGGCCCCGGCTTAGCTCTGGGAAACTCCAGTTCCCCTGGGACATCAGAGGTTTTTGGGGGATGAGGCCAGGCTCTGTGTGGACAGTCAGGTGACCACCCAGGTTCTAGGTGGCATATACATTCGACGCGGGCCCCAATGCTGTGATCTTTACCCTGGAGGACACTGTGGCTGAGTTTGTGGCTGCTGTGAAGCACAGCTTCCCGCCCGAGTCCAATGGAGACAAGTGAGTGTTGGTCCCCTTCCTCCTTACCCCTCTTTGTGAGAAAGATCCTGCCAGGAACCTCCTGGAACAAACAAGATGGAGGCACATTCCCCTGGGGCCATCCCCCTTTCCCGCCTCCATAGTCACAGAGAAGCCACACACTTCTCTGTGGGTAACACCCAGGGCCTCGCTCCTACCCCCTCAGAGAGCTACTTGTTTTATTATCAAAAAACATGCATTCTGAGTGTATTAAATACTACACATGTAGAAAAGGGTTAAAACCAAGCCCTGGTTTCCTTCATACTAAAACAAGTTAGGGCTGGTCATGGTGGCCAGTGTTGTCACCATCTCTGCACCAGGTGCATCTTCTGGGGAAGTTGGGGCAGGCATCCAGGAGTCCCACTGTCACAGAGCCTACTGGGCCCAGCCAGCCTCTGAGGCGCATTTGAGCCTCGGGTGCTCTGCTGGTATCTTATCCTCTATGAGAGGCGCCTTCTGGCCAGGGGTGTTAGAGGTTTGGGGGAACAGCCCACCTGTCTGCAGTTGGGGCAGTACAGACTTCCAGTGGGCAGGGAACTGAGCATGCTGACCTCCTCCTTTGGGTGTGTGGGCTGCCCTCAGGGATTGTGCAGATTGTCTCAGAGCTGGAATCCAGGCAGTTTCTTAAGCCGAGTCACCCCCTAGGCTCAGCATCAGCCAGGGGCCAGAAATGGACCCCAAACCTCTTGAAGGTTCCCTGAAACCCTCTCCTCAGAGTGACCCCAGTATGGACCCTTAGCACCCTGCCTCGTGTTTTGGTTTTTGATAAAATGCACGTTACATTCACGATCTTAACCATTTTAAACTGTATACTTCAGGGGTCTTCAGGTATTTACACATTCACAGATCCCTCTACTTCCATAACTTTCTCACCACCCCTGGAAGAAACCTGAGCCCAGCAGTAGCCACCCACCATCTCCTTCCCCAGCCATGACAGCCACTGTCCACTGCCTGTCTCTGTGGGGCTGTCTGGTCTGGGTGTTGCATGGAAGTGGAGTCATAGGCTGCACCCTTCTTGCCCCAGGTTTCTGAAGGGGCTGCCGGTGAGGCCCGTCCTGCTGTCAGATGAGCTCAAAGCTGCACTGGCCATGGAGCCCACCCCTGGTGGAGTCAAATACATCATTGCTACTCAGGTGAGGCAGGGACACTGTGGTGTCTCCCCCTCAGGGGACCCATCCAGCTCCCCGAATCCCCCTCAGTCTCTAACAATATCAATGACAACACTGTCTCAGCTTTCAAAGCTGACAGGTGACTTGTGATGCTGGGGCGGAGGACAGGTGGAGCATGTCTGCTTGTTCTGCTGGGAGCTCCTAGGTGGGTGCACCTCCAGCCTCGGTGCTCACCCCTTAGAGCAGCTCCTGCCTCCCATTTTGCTGGCTCCAAGTCCAGTGGTCACACCCACTCAGGCCACGGAGTCTGCGTTCTGCCCTGGAGTCATGTGCTCAGGGCTGCTTCCCCTATGTCCCCAAGTCTAGGCATTGTGGCAGTGACCAAGAATGGCCAGAGAGTGCTAGGCCAGCAGAGGTGGTCTTGTCTGAAGGAGTTGGCGTTGTCCCTACAGGGCTGCTCAGCCTTTGAGGGCTTACCTGGAAGGGGCAACCCCATTCTTCCATCCCTAACCCACCATCCTGAAAACCCTTGGTGCCCTAAGATGCTTGAGCTGCCATCACCCAGGGATCTGACACTGGCTTCCACCCTAGGTGGGGCCTGGGCCTCAAGTCCTGGATGACCCCCATGTTCACCTCTTGGGCCCTGATGGCTTACCGAAGCCGGCTGTCTGACCACCGCCTCTGCAGTCTCCCAGCACCACTGGGAGAAGGGTCACCGTGCTGGGACAGGTGGGGTTGCCGGCCTGCCCTTTTGGGACTTGGTTTCCTGGCTCTGGGTCGGCCAGCATTGGGCTGTGGGGCAGTGGTGTGAGAGCTGCAGCCATCCAGGCCAGCTGTGGGCTCCTCTCCTGTGTCACCTGTCCCCACTTGGATGTGGTGCTTCAGTGAGATGAGATTGGTCAAGCATGAGAAACAGGCATGGAGTACCAGCGTGCTCTGGGCTGAAGGGCTTCCGGACCCTGAGCTCCAGCCACTCCCAGTGTGCCAGAACAGACTTTGGTGGGAGCCTGTCCCTCTGGGGTCCTGGTCACTATGGGGCCCTCAGGAACCTCCCCAAGTGCTTCAAGGATGAAGGCGGATGGTGCCTCTGCTGCACCTTGGAGTCAGGCAGGGCTATGGTGGAACATTTCTTACAAAAAGAGCAGTGCTGTTTCCCAGCCAAGGGCAGGTGGCTCCAGCCAGGATGGATGGGGGCCAGGGCAGATCTGGGTGCTTGGGAGCTGTGACTGTGGTGACCATAGGAATAAACCCAGCTCTGCTGACTTCTCCTGTGGCTTTTCTTGTTTCCCAAACCATTGTTCTAGGGTCTTTGCTCTGAGCAGTCCATGACCTGCCCAAGGGGCCCACAAGCTCTTCCCCCCCCCCA